CTATTTAAACACTTGTCTGGCAATCAGAAAAAAAAAAGACAAGATGTAATAATCAAGGCATCTGAATTAAGCTGTCTTAGGAAAAGAAAACCTGACAATGGTCAGAAATATTGATATAACTACAGCCATGCAGGGGGAAGCCATGACCCCTACATGTCCTTTTAAAATATTCCAGATAACACCAAGCACAGCATTTTTTTTAAAAGCACAAAAAGAAAAGACTGAGGTTAAAAATAATAGATTGAATATTTATAGATTTTTCTCACTCTGTTAAAGCAACGTGCTTTATGTGGTGCCCACCAGACAGAGTGTGACCCCAGTTCCTCTCAGTCACTGGGGGAAGGGACTTTGAAGAACCTTCCCTGCCCCAGGCATAACATATGTTGCCTTTCACCCTCCGCCCTCCCTTGCTGCCAGGGCGTGAGGATAGGAGGGGTGAGGGAAGTGGGTAATTATTTGATGTTTATTAATCACCTGCTGTGGATGGAAGTCAATGAATCCACCAGATCATCACTATTTGAAAGTGTTCCTTTTCAGAGCTAAGAGCGAGCTACTTCAGGGAGTACAAAGCCACTTCTTGTCGTATCACAAAAGTTTGATCCAGTTAGTATGGCTACACAGTGCGCTGAATATTTAAACTGTGACTCAAATAGGGCAACAGCATCTAAGATTTCATGTGTATAGGAAATGTAAGGGCCCATTCACAATTCAATATGTAAAATGCACGTGGATGTTTTGCAATTTTTTGCCATGTACAAATGCAGTGCAAGGCATGCCAAAAAGAACAAAACCTATACAAACATATGCACTCTTTTAAACACAATGTGAACGGACCCTGAGATTTGAAGAAAGTAAGTAGAGGGCTGAAATCTTGTTATGCTGCAAAGCCGAAACTTATTGAACTCAAAGAAAGAATAACATTTCTCCAAAAGGTGAGCAGGGATCATATTCATGTGTTAATATAGCCCATATGAGGGGCTTCACATTAGAGATCTGCTCTAAAACAGCACGAGATGTAAGGACTGGCAGATGTATGGACGCGCTGCAGACAATGTTACAAAGACTCAGACAGTTTTAGCCCTTTGTCAAAAACAAAAGATTATTTGATGGTCACAAAATCAGCACACAATTGTTTTCACCGTTCTGGCTGGTTAGTTATACAATCACTATGTACAGTATGCAGCACTTTTAAGAACAGACAAAATAGCATACTACACTGGCTGCAGCTTCAAGGGCTCTTGTAGAAGGCCGCCTATGGCCATAAGGCGTACAATCAGGCACATTTGTTCAGCCATAGAGCTCCAGGTGCTGTGTACAGTGTCCCCTAGAAGTCAATGGCTTTATGAATTTATACCTTGAATTTGCATAAACTCACGAATGCCTACGGGCACATGGTACCGTAGGATCTGCTTTTGAGGTACATTCGTTATAGCGGTAGTTTTCAGCACAGTTAAAATTAGAGGGGCACCGAAATGAAAATTTCAAAACCGAATTTTTAAATTTTAACTTTTTCACATTTTTTTTTATACACTAATTTTTTTTATATTTATTTTATTATTCATTTGATTAAATATTTGTATTTTTTACTTTTTGGGGCAATATTAGGGTTCTAAACAGACCCCTGATATTTCCCTTTTAAAATAGAAAAAAAAGAGATTGAGAACACAAAGTCCTCAATCTCTTTTTCTGCAGCCCCTGTTATCAATGAACAGGAAGCCTATATACACTGAGTGTTTCTGTTCATTCATAACATGAGAATATAGTATGTTTACTATAACTACAACTATGAAAGGAACAGGAGGTGATGTAGATCACTTCCCATTCATTCATAATTGAGGATATACTCTGTCCTCAATTGTTTACAAACATTCAGCGATCACTGAGTATTTGTACTGCTGTCACAGGAGGTTGAGCGAGCGGAGCTCAGCCTTCTGTGACAGCGCTGGCTGTCTCCACCCACACTGCTCTCCTCTGATCTGTGACAGGAGGCTGAGCGGTGCGGGGAGGAGAGACGCTGGCCGCTCACAGCACTCTCCTCCCGGAGCGCTCGGCCACCTGTGACAGTTTCTCTCCTCCCCGCTGGGACACAGAGCAGCGCCCAGCGGGGGAGGAAAGAAAACAGGGATGCACCGCTGTATCAGCCAGAAAATGGCACTTTCAGCATTATGCCAAAAGTGCCATTTTCGGCCGCCGATATATCGGAGCATCCCTAGTTAAAATCTTTAGTAGCTGCTGCTATTACAGGATCCCTGTGGCCCTGCCAGGGATAATTTATGTATACTAATATTGTGCCATGTAGGACCAATGTAATAATGTATAAACCCTTATAGCTGGAGTTCAGCTTTAAGGGCATGTTCACATCTCCAGACCAGATCTGAATGTGTTTCTGCAAACACCTGTAAGCACATTTTTGACGTGTTAATGCATTCCAGCGCATTTTTTGGTTCTCAATTGGTTTTGTTTCACTTTTAACCCTTTTGTTGACAAGGCTTTTTTTTTTTGGCAAACAGATGTTTGCTGGTCTCTCATTGCCAAAACCTTTTGATGCCGGTCCCGGGCCCCCAGATGGGGCAGATGAGCCCAGGAAGCAAAGCTCAGGTACTATACTAGAGTATCTGCTTGAAGCATCTGCTGGCCTTGCCACTGTACACATTTTTTTTTTATTTCACAGGTTTCCCCCTGAATGGAGATTTATTCTATCTGACACAATTGCTAAATTTACCTTCACCATCACTGCAGTTTAAATGGATATTACAGAACCATAGTGGATACAACACATGACCAAGTCATTTTGTGGGTCACTGCAGGCTTATTCTGTAAGACAGTGTATAGAGCAACTATAATGTGTAGAGTGTAGTGACCCATAGCAACCAAAGGGCATACTTCTACAGCAGTGAATGTGACAGTTACCAAATATTCACTGCAGGTGAATCTGGTAGATGTGATTTAATAAACTGAACGATTCATTCCCCCATGAATTTCACATACACTGCTTTATAAATGTGTCCCCAAGCATCAATGTGCCGTCAGATTAGATAGGGCCCATTCACACAAGGACATCCACTGCAGTGCATTTAATGCATGTGCATTGTATTGAGACAGGTGTATTGGGGTGCTATCATAATCAATGGTGCCACAGTGTAACATTGCATGTAATGCGCATTACCACAGTACAGTAGTGTGAACGGGTCCTTAGGATGAATAGTGACTTGCTACTGAGTTAAACCTTGCACATCACCACTGAACTCAACATACACCGATTAGTCAGAACATTATGCCAACTGAAAGGTGAAGTGAATGGTATTGACTATCTTGTTACAATGGCACCTGGAAGTGGGTGGGATATATTAGGCAGCAAGTGAACATTTTGTCCCTGGAGTCAATGTGTTGGAAGCAGCAAAAAATAGGCAAGCGTAAGGATTTGAGCAACTTTGATAAGGGCCAAATTGTGATCGCTAGACGACGGGTTAGAGGAACTCCAAAACTGCAGCTTTTGTGGGATGTTCCCGGTCTGCAGTGGTCAGGACATAACAAAAGTGGTCCAAGGAAAGAAAAGGAAGAAGCACCAAGATGCACTATGAGGTGAACCCACGGAGGCAGTGTGATGCTTTGGCCAATGTACTGCTGGGAAACATTGGGTCCTGCCATTCATGTGGATGTTACTTTAACACATACCACCTACCTAAACATTGTTGCTGACTTTCATGGAAACAGTATTCCCTGATGGCAGTAACCTCTTTCAGCAGAATACTGCACCTTGCCACACTGCAAAAACGGTTCAAAAATGGTTTGAGGAACTCAACAAATGAGTTTGAGGTGTTGACTTGGCCTCCAAATTCTCCATATCTAAATCCAATAGAGCATCAGTGGGATGTGCTGGAAAAACAAGTCTGATCCACTGAGGTCCCACCTCATAACTTATAAGACCTAAAAGATCTGCTACTGATGGCTTGGTGCCAGATATCACACCATACCTTCCGAGGTCTAGTGGAGTCCACGCCTCGAGGGGTCAGGGCTGTTTTGGTGGCAAAAGGGGGACCTACTCAACATCATGTGGGTGGTCAGGTCATTGCTGATCGGTGCATGTCAACAGCGAGTGAAAAAAAAAATCTTTCAAAGGGTGCAATTAATTTTGGTCATTGGTAATGGTCACTGTATGTCTAGGAGATAAACAGTGCCAGAAAAAAGCCAAACAAAATAAGCAATTTGAATGTCATCTGTCCTAGACTGGCATGTCCAGATGGAATTCAGTCAGTGATCCAGAGAATTTAGCTGCTGCCTGCTGAGAGGTCAATGATTTTTTTTTAGGCCATGCGGATAGGATAAATTGAGAGCTACCTAACGAGGGGCATATTTTGCCTTCTTCCGAATTGAAATTATTGAATTTGGCCTTTTTTCATACTTGCTCGGTATGGTATGTTGTAGATACTTTGATGTGTTATAGCTTTCAGTGGACTAAAATAAATAGAGTTAAAGGCAATCTGTAGCAAAGCTTACTATCCGTCTTAGCCCATATCACTGAATGAAGCCTCTACTCCTAGTCTATTGACACACATGCCAAGCTCTGAAGTAGTGACTTTGCTTGCAGTGACCATAACAGGCAAAACCTATTTGCCACAAAACTAGCATCCAGCCTTTGTGAACTAGAAAACATCTGCTTCTGTCAGAAGCATCTGAGACAGGTATTGAGTTTTAGCAAACTCTTCTCAGCTAAGTCCATTAACCTAAATAGGAAGGGTGCTCCAAGTCAAACAAAACTCACAAAAGTTCACCACAAATCTCATTTTAGCCCTATAAATCCATAAAGATAGATTGGAAAAAAAACATTTACCCTGTAAACTGTGTGATCTTTTATGTGGATATACAGAAACAGCAGTGGAAAACACTAATGCACAGAGCAAAAAAACTAATCTCTGATCTTAAACTGGATGGTTTGAAAAGTCCACTAAAGTGAACAGAAAGGTCTTTACAAAGCACACAAGTCAGGCTGAGGTTTCACATATCCCAAGCTTTGCCATCTTGGGATCATTTATTGAGGCTAATTTCCAAAAACAGTAGAAATCAATGTAAAAAATAAAGACTGTAGGGAAAGATTATACACTTGATGCCGGAATGTTATCCAGATCGTGGATTCCTTCCTTATCGATGACACGCACACTGAATGATGGAAGGCTCAAGATAAACCTCTTCTGAAGCTGAAAGACACAAACAGGTGTGTGAACAATTTTCTCCTGCTAAAAAGTGTCAGCATAAATTAATGCAAGGTAGGGAAAAATGCTTAAGAGGCTAAAGCTGTTAAGAGGCTATATAGCGTGTTGGCATTCAATTATGCAGGTAAACATGCAAATATTTTGACTTGGCTTACAAAGTTAAAGGTGTAATCATGCTACTGAAAACAATGTCATAAGTTAATAACAGCATCTGAATGATCAAAAATAAAATATCTGTAAAGGAAGATGCAAACTGTAACAGCAAAAGACTGGCAGTAAATAAAACCTTCTGTAAAAGGTTCGAAGTTAGACAGGATTTGATGACAAAGGATTTAGTCTCCTCTCCGTGTCTTATGCTTTCAATGAAATGAATATACCGTTCTATCTGAAGGTAAGAGGAAGAAACCTTCACAGATGCAGAATAAATCTGTCAAGTCAAAGCCGCTGGTTAACACAAATTGAATTCCATACAATACCCAGTGCATGTGATCCAACTTTGAGAAACCTACAGATAAGAAAGGACAGTTCCTCAATTCTGCTGTTTTACAGTAGCTGCATCAGGGGATAATCTGATGTCTATAGGTCCTTGCACACGCGTATATTTGGCAAGAGGAATCAATTGGGTAGGTCAGATAGCATCTCTTGATCATTACTGTTCTACAAAGGCATTAGCTATGCTAATGTAGCATCTGATAATGTTGCTCATCTTCCCCCACTCACACACAACATGGACCTTGCATGGTTATGAAGTGCTCTGCAATGATTGTAAGATTTCTTGCTCCAAGGGTGGCTGGATCATGCCTATGCATTTTACCACCCTCTTATGTCTTATCCCTGAATTTGAAGGGAGATACATGGGTACCCACCATTTTACTATCTGCAGTTCAAGTATTTTGCAGGTACCTAACAGCATACAAGTCTGTATAATATCCGATAATTAGACAGAAATGCGCAAATAGGTAACATTGCTATTTAAATCGATGAAGCATATGGCCAGAACCTATATGGCCATCATCTGCCAATGGCTATTCATATTCTCTTACCTCTGCTATACATCTCTTAAGAAGTTCTACTGCCTCTTCTCGTGTGAGATCTGGAACAAAAAGTAAACTTCATCATAAAACAAATATGCAAAGGATATTTATTCATAAGCAAGCATATTAAAGCTAAGTGCACTTTATGATGATTACCTATGCAGTTGATCCCCATAGACTTCTATGCAGCAGAGGCAGGAAATACACAGCAGATGGTCCCATAGAAGTCTAAGAGAACCCAGTGTGCAGGGTCAGCCAGTGGGAAATAGATTTGGCAAGCAAAATGTAAGCAGTGCAGTGGGCCGAGGCTGCAAAATTCAGGAAGGAAGATCTTTTTATGATTCATAGCTGAAGGATCCCTTCTAAACTACATACACTTTATTTAAAAGACAAAGATCATGGTAGGCAATGATGAGGAAGGGTAGCTGTATAATGACAATCACCCTCCGGAAGACATCTGTGTATTACCACCCTTATCGTTAGTGATGGAGTCCTCTGCTGCCTTGGTGAGACGGAACGAATACTGACTTGCATTCAATTTTAGCAATGAAAGGGTGTAGAAGACAAGCATTGATTGATTGACAGCTCTACTAGGAGAGGGACCTGAGGGACTAATGAAGGTGTTGGTGATATGGAGGACCCAACAGGGGGTTCTATGTGATCTGCTCCCCAGCAAGGTGAGGGTGTCATCACACTAACTTATCAGCACTGGTATAACATGTTTGGAGGGCTGCATTTCAAAGCAGGCTCTCTGAACTGATAAACGATTTAGAAAAAAAATAACTATAACTATTCCTAGGCTACTAATTATTGCTGCTGCTTTCAGAATTTATTTTTTGCTCTTTTAATCTCTTTAAAAGCAGATAGTTCAATAAGAAAGAAAAAAAATATTTGAGCGATATATATATATATATATTTATTTTTTTTAAAGCAAAAAATACGATTCATAATACTTATGGGCAAATAAAAATGTCAAAAATCCACAAATATTTTCACCTTCGTGACAAGGTTTGGCACTGGGCTGTGCCAGGAAAGTATGAGAGGCTGTTTCAGGTAGGGGACTCATTTTATACCTGCAGCAGTTTGCCCCCCTTCTCCACAGTTAAGGTAGTTTGTTATTGTAGTGATATTTTGCTGAACACTCAGCTTGTACTTTCCAAAAATCCCAGTAAGAAACTTCAGACAGCTCCTTGGTAAATTTAACACAACCAAAATCAAGGTAAAGTTTTAAGATACAGATGTAGACAAGTTTGTTGATACCCTTCCATGAAAAAAATAAACTTTTCTCTGAAATATTTAAAACTGACCAACGTAATTGGCATCTATCACTGTTTATAATAAAAAAATCAGACTTTCCTATTGATTTGAATCAAATTTTAAAACAATAAAACAAATAAAAATGGCATGGACAAAAATGATGGGATCCTTAACCCTAATATTTTGTTGCACAAACGTTAGAGACAGTCACGGCAAACAAGTACTTTCTGTAGCTCTCAGACTTTTTCACCTGCCAACAGGTAGTTTGGCCCACTCTTCTTGGGGAAACTGCTCCAGCTGTTTCGGGTTTGAAAGGTGCCACCTCCAGACTGCATGTTACAGTTATTTCCACAGATATTTGATAGGATTCAGATCAGGGCTCATAGAAGGCCGCTTCAGAATAGTTCAATGTTTTGTTCTTAACCTTTCTTGTGTGCTTTAAGCTTTATTTTTTGGGGGTCATTAGCCTGTTGAAGGACCCATGACCTATGATTCAGACAGAGCTTTCCGACAATGGGCAATACATTGCACACCAGAAGTCCTTGATAGTCTTGAGATCTCATTGTGCTCTTAACAGGTTCAAGGCATCCCATGTGAACCAACACAAAGCAGCCCCAAAACATAACTGATCTTCCTCCATGTTTCACAGTAGGTACGATGTTCTCTTCTTTGAAAGCTTAATTTGTTTTGGCTGTGAACATAGGCTAATGTGACTTGCCAACAAACTCCAAATTTGTTTGGAGTTTCCATCTGTCCAAAGGACATTATCCCCAAAGCATTTGGCTTGTCAACATGCATTTTAGCAAATTCTACTCTGGCTTTTATAATGTTTTTCTTCCAACAGTAGAGTCCTCCTAGGGCAGGGATGGCCAAACTTCGGCCCTCCAGCTGTGGTGAAACAACAAATCCCATGAAGCATCTCTCTCCAGGAGTCATGTCTGTGGCTGTGAGAATCTAGCAAAGCCTCATGGGATTTGTAGTTCCACCACAGCTGGAGGGCAGCACTTTGGCCATCCCTCTCATAGAGCTTATTCCTTTGAGCTCACTGTTGATCAAAAACCAACAGATGGTGTGACCTGATACTGCTGTACCTTGGCCTTGGAGCTCAGCTGGTATCTCTTTGTAAGTTTGGTTCCTCACCTACCATTCCCACTGTCCCTCTGTTCAATCGAAGGATGATTTTCCTCGTGGCCATATCAAGGGTACCTACACTCCCATAGACCTTAAGCTTCCTAATAACATTTGCAATTGTAGCCACAGGAATATTAAGGGGCTTGTAGATGGTTTTACAGCATTTACCTTTGACACGCTGGTCTATATTTTTTTCTGATCTGGTCAAATGTTCACTGTGGTGGACACAATGATACCAATGAGTGACTACTTTTGTCTATTTAAATATAATGACTAGCAGATTACAAGATTAAAGACATGTGTGATACTAATGAGAGAAAACAGTTTGACATTTTACTATGATTCATTATTGTATTATTTATATGCTTTTCTAGGGGTCCAGGTTTTCTAGGGGTCCAGGGGACACATGTCCAGGCCATTTTTAAATGTTTTTGTAAAATAAGGAATCATTTGTGTCTTTTCACACTTTCTTTGCTTTACTCCATGACTTGCCAAAGCCATGAGATAACCACTTTTAATTCCATCACTTTTCAGGTGATGAAGCATAGTTTTATTGAGCTATAAGGGTACCAACAAATTAGTCCAGGTTTGTATGTACTTTACTGTACCTTTTTCCCCCAAAGCTAAATAAATACTAGGTAATGTAGATATGCTGTCTACATCTTGACATAGATCTTAGCACTTAAAAGAGAATAGGTTTCTATGAAAGGAGAAATGATCTCTATGAATAGCGAAATGTAAGAAATCTATATGCCGATTCTGCAAATAAAAAGCAAAATAAATAAAAGATCTTGAAAAATAAACTGATATATTGACAGAAAGAAGCGACACACCAGCTGGAGGTCATACCTGGCTTGTAGTAGCGATCCAGGATACTGAGAGTGAGGAGGGCTCCATAGCCATGAGCTGCAAATGGTGCTTTTGCCAGAGCTGCCAGGTAATCCATGTAATACAAGGAAGGGCCATCATGCTCATCGTAACCAGCTAGCAGCAGGTTAACATGGTAAGGTGTCTATAAAGATAAAGAGCCATATTTAACCAAAACAAAATTATACACATTGCCTTGCTCGTAGAATAGTATGATGAACATTTAGATCCCGAAATACAGAGACCTATTGCAAACAGTTCATCTATATTATACTTGAACTATAGAAACATAAGGAAAAAAATACAAATCCAAAACAGTCACTCATAGGTTTAAAAATCTTATTCACACTTACCCACATATTGCATATATGCCAAACCAATGAGCTTACCGAAAGTTCAGGAGATTTTCATTCAAATAACTAACATTGGATGTCTGATCAGTCGCTTGTTTAGGTGACTTTTTCTATCATGAAATACTATATAAATTCCCCTTAGACAATTAAACCGTATACAGGTGAAACTCGAATAATTAGAATATTGTGCAAAAGTAATTGCAGTAAGTGCTGCAAAAGGGGCCCAAACCAAGTACTGAGTACATATGCATGCTTGTACTTTTCTGAGGTCCGATATTGTTCTATGTACAATCCTTGTTTTATTGATTGCATGTAATATTCTACTTTTTTGAGGTTGTGGATTTGGGGTTTTCATGAGCTGTAAGCCATAATCATCACAATTATGACAAATCACGGCTTGAACTATCTTGCTTTGCATGTAATGAGTCTATCTCATATATTAGTTTCACCTTTTAAGTTGCATTAGTGAAATAAATGAACTTTGCACGATATTCTAATTATTCGAGTTTCACCTGTATGTTCTCTATTTCCTGTATTTATGCAAAGCCATGGCCAGCTAAAAGAGTGCACACCAGTCCCTGCCTCTGAGGAGAAAAAAAAAATTGTATCTCCTTAACACCATGAAAAAAAAAAAGCACACAAACTACAGCCAGCTTTGGGTTGGTACCAATTAGTAGTTAAATGCCAGACCCTTTCACTGTGTGGAAGGAGTGGTCTCTCTGCATAAGACTGACACAGCCCCATGCTGATTTAAAGCCAAAGCTCTCTAAATCAGTAGGGAGCATGAGCTTTGTCGAATACAAAGCTATAGATCTGACTAAGCAGGGGATGTGTCAGACCTCTGTAGAGGGACCACTGCTTCTGCACGCAGGGAGAAGAGACCGCCTTTACAGCATGCCGTCAAGGAACAGGTTTTCTACTCTCCCTATAGCGGTTTCTAAAGAGAACATAATGTAAAACTTTAAACTGAATTAAAAATAGACGGTTAACAAATTACATTTTTTTTTTTTTTTTTAGCAGGTATGACAGTTCACACATATACATATTTTAACTGTGTATTTACCTAATGGCCTACACCAGCGGTGGCCAACTCCGGCCCTGAAGCTGTTGTAGAGCTACAAGTCCCATGAGGCAATGCAAGATTGACCGTTACATGACTCCCAGAGACAGAGGCATGTTGCGATTCGTAGTTAAAGCACAGCTGGAGGGCCAGAGTTGCCCACCCCTGGCCCATACTTATGCTTTAATCCCACCTGCAGATATTGACCCCTTACATAAAAGGCTACAAAGTAATTAATAAAAATGGTAGACAGAAAAGGACCCAGTAAATAGCACCTGATCCCAATTCTAGAGCACCTACTCTTCTTATAGCCAAATACATTGCAGTACTAGCGAACCACTCTGCAATCTGCCCATTTTACTGTATATTTACAGGTTACGACCAGTTTTTGTGTGCACAGTTCATACTTGGAATAACCATTCAGCATAAGTAATGAGCACATTTATAGGAACAAGGCAGTGCAGGGTCATGTGCAATGGGCAGAAGATGTTGCAATTTTAGCCACTGCTCCCTAGATACTTTAATTTAATTAGCTGCTCTAACATTTATTTATGCCTACACATCCAAGACGCAGGCACAATTAACAGGAGGAGGATGGAGGGGGGGTTCTCTCAGTGTTTAAAGAGCGGTGCAGGAGATGTCTCGCCAAAGGTTTGTGCGACTCTCGAGATGCCAGCTTTCTGCATGTGTGAGATGCTCAGGCATAAATAAAAGGGTGTGAGGCAGTTTTAATTAAACCAATACATCTGTGCCAGTTACCATGTCAGACTTGCTTTTGACACGCTCGGGCACAAGGAATGAGCTGTCTGATTTTTACCCATTCAAGGCCACAAAGTGCAATGCAAGGTTATGGACTCCCTTCTTCTATACAAGTTGATTCTGGCCCCTCACTCAAAAGGATCATTATATAGGGCATTAAAATTCACACCTGAATATTGCAAGAATGAAGGAAGGACAAAACAATATTTTTATCTGGAGTCCCTAGGATGTTTTCTGTAAAGGAAACCTAAATTTGTAGGCTGCATTTGTAGATACTGATCTGAAAATGCTAGTCACCAGACTGCCATAGTGATCCAGTGGTTTCCATACTTTCAGTAGTTAGGAGATTTGATGTCACTTCCGGTATGATTGTTTTGGTACAGTAATTACCAGGTTAACAGCATTTTCTGGGGATATGAAGAAATGGCAGCCCATATATTTCTCTCATTGTCATAAGATAAATGTGCATTCTCTGCTACTTAGAACTAGACAAAAGCTATTGATGGAAAAAAGGGGATAAGAGCTGTGCGTAAATGACAAGATGTCTATGCTCCTGATTGACTGGTTTAACAAAAACAGGGCATTATGATCATGATTCTAATGGCAAATGATCCGTTCCATAAACAATGCCTATAAATTGTGTGCTACTAAGGCTGGGTTCACACCTAGGCGTATCGAATATGCGCGTTTGTCGCGCGTTGCATGTCGCGCGGTAAAAAAACGCGCGTTTCCGAGGGCTACTTGGCTGTATCCCAATGGAAACGCGTGACAAAAATGCCCCAAAGAAGCTCCTGTACTTCTTTGGGCGTAGGACGTTTTGTAGCGCGTTCATATGGCCTGTAATACGCCCAGGTGTGAACCATACCCATAGGAAATAATGGGAATTCGGTGTTTGAACGTTTTGCAGAGTGTAGGAACGCGCTACAAAACGCCCAGGTGTGAACCGGGCCTAAGTGTAGCGAGAGACATGTGGATATACAAAATTAACTACATTTCTGAAATGGACACTAAGAATAATTTGTTTTCTATGGATGGCCATGCTTGAAAAATATTGGGACTTAATAGGAATCTTGTTACATCTGTGCCCACCTCCTTTATATATATATATAAAAAAAAAAAAAAACTTTTTATTCTTTTATAGGACTGCTACACCCCAGTAATTTCCATAAACATTAAAAAGGAAAAACTCAACTCCCAAGAACAAATAAGATACAGCAATGGCTACCCAGACAATTGTGTAATATATGTTAGAACAATTCATTTTGCAAACTACTTTGGTTTCTAAAACTGCTAAATTTCTCTTCATTATAAACACATGGCAAGCACACTTGGTATACAAAACATATTGAGACTTCCATCCTTAGCTCAAGTGATTGCACGCTGCTTGAAGTCAACGTACAGACACCTCTAAAACATGGATTTCATCTTTCATGAGATACAGTACTTACAGTTCTTTCAAAGACCCGTGCAAGTATAAATGAATGCTGTGGCAACAGTCTTTCTTAGAACAGCACTGAGCCTGTGCAGAGATTTATAGGGAGGGAAAAATCTTCCTTTTAAGGAGACAGCTATACAAATGGCTGGTAATGCCTACGGCAATATCTACAGGTTAGAAGCAGGTAAGCAATGACGTCTCCCAAAAACCTGTGCAACGTATGTAGTTCACCTGAGGGGGCAATCCCTTGCCCTTTAGAAAACTGGAGAGTCACTTTAAACTGAACCTGTGCTTTGCCCATGGAGAATAAAGTTGAAGGTTTCAGGCAGCAGCAATTTCCATACATGTGGGATGATACCTCTATGCTTCCTCCCTCCAGATATAAGTTCACCCCCCCCCTTAAAAAATACCCCACTCAAAGCACCAGCATCTCATCTGATTACACTTTTTTGGGGGGCATCCCTGGTGCCCAAAAGAGGGGATTACATGTAGGTTGCACTTTCACAAGCCCCCTTTTTACAAACTGTCATTAAGGCCCCTTATTCACCAGTGCAATAACCCTGTCCCATGTGTTAGTATTTATATAGTATATACATGCGGCTTATAAATCTTTAAACTACAGATTGGATTACTCCCTACATTAGTTAATATGACATTATGATGTATACACCAACAGTGGGCAATGTTTAGCAATATCTCTTATTTAGAATGATTGGAATACTTTTCAGAGTGCGTGAAACACCACTGAGCTCTCAACTGCAGGGGAGCTGTGGTGACAACAGTCACCAAGACATACCACACAGTGCGACTGCACATGGATGATGACTGGCAGTGGTGAGACATCTGGCGGAAGGCGAAGTAACAGAGGTGGGGAGTGAGGAAGAAGAATCCAGCACAGCATGAATTGCACCCACGGGAAGTGACATATACAAGCACAGAGCAATGTCAGCACACAATTAGTAACCTGGGTCACTAGCTGACACCTCTCAATCATGTATCAAAGCAATGTGAGAAGGCACAATGTTTCTTTATGTGTTATTTATTAACAGATGTTGGCATTTCACTTGTTCTTTGTACAATTAAGAAAATATTCCTTAATTGTGTTTAGCTCTTTGAGTTCATCAAAAATGTATCAGATTAACCAACTTCGGCTAATAAAATGCTAATGATGAACTATAAAAGTAAAATATAGACTTTTAAAAGAAATCTAAAAATGACACAATATATATATATATATATATAAAACATACATACACACACTTGATTCCTTTGGTTGTCATGTGACACATATTCCCTTAGTAGAGAAGACACAGAAGGAGAGAAACATGGCACCAAGGTGCCCTCACAGTCCGCTTCCATACACTTCCTCCTCTAGGATGTATGACGTCATGTTGCTGATGGACATATCCATGACAGTTCTGGA